CTTCTCGTTCTCTGTCGCCGCCATGTGTGTATGTAAACAAAGGCACTGCTCATGCGTGTTTTACCCATATTCTATCACAATATTTTATTTTCTATCATTGCCCGACATTACACCGGTATTACCGTGAACGGTATGATATGGCAAAGCCCCAGCTGTGAGCTGAGTCTTGTAACCTTGTAAAGCAAAATATCGGAAACGTTTATGTCTGTGCGTCCACAGATGTGTGTCGTGTGTTTGTTAATGAACCTTTTAATGTGAAGCACTCTGAAAAGCTCTAAGTGGTCTGTGTACTTAGCCATGTTTTTTGTTTGTTTGTTTTTTTTACAAATTGCTTCTATATAAAAGCGACCTTGTCTTAACACATACAGTCAGTAAAAAGAGGAAAGTCTTGGTTTCTGAAAGAAGCGTAAAGGCTGCTGCTTATTTTTTCCAACATTCACTTGGCCCTCCAACTTCTGGCCTCGACATCGTTGAAATCAACAAGAAGCACTTGGAACATAAACTTCTGCCAGAGTGACTCTCTCTCCTGGCAGTATTTACCTTTAAGGGCACAGTGCTGTATTCTGTTGAATCATTTTGTTTTCTTTATAAATACTGTACAGTGCCATTAAAAAGTCAGATTCAAATTCCAAGTTTTCTTGTCATGTACAGATAAACAGTGTAGCCACATTGATCCATGATGAAATTCTTGTGCTCCTCAGCTTTAAATGAGCATATAGAGAGTGTGCAGTTATACTGAGAATAAAAAACAGAAATTAGCAGTGGTAGCAACAACAACAACGTATTAAATATTAGAGAATTTAGTTGGTATTTAAATTTCAGACAACTTGGTATTTACAAGTTTGTGCAAAAGTATTTGCAGGTCGTACAAAGTTGTGCAACATGCATTTAAGTAGCATTTGTTGAAGTGACAGTGTGCAGAGTCCTGTAATTGTAGTGGTGTGTATGGAATGTCTGCAGTTCAAAAGTCTGATGGCTTGTGGGTAAAAACTGTCCCTGTGTCTGGTACTGTGGGTCTGGATGCTCCTGAACCGCCTGCCGAATGGCAGGAGTGTGAAAGGTCTGTGGCTGGGATCAGAGAGGATCTGT